GAGCAACACAGCTAGGCTGCCTCAAGAAAAATGTAGTATTTTTTTATTCTATTATTTTGCCCCGTGTGCATCAATAGTTTTAAGTGGGCTCCGACAGTAAAATGAAATCCTAGTGACAGTTGCTTGAAATGCTTGCTGAAGACGATGAGCATCCTATTGCTAGCCATGCTTTGAATGATATATTTACTGGTGAAATGAAATCACCTCCTTCTCTCTTTCTTTCCCATGACCTGCTGGCTTTCCAAAGCTGCAAGGGTGTAACTTTGTGATAAAAGTTGGCATGAACGCTCTAAGGGTGGTGGCTGATGGACCTACAGCTACTCAACCCGAACGCTTTCAAAACGGTTTATATTTTCCAAATATGAGCTCAAACACATATTTATTGAATGCTTTCCTATTGTTGAGAACACAAGAGTACCACCGTACACTGATATTTATAGTTATAAACAGATGCCCGCCTTTAATGTTTTATTTATTAAGGGCTCAAAAACATTAATGTATAAAAAATTATGAATAACAGCCGATTTCCAATGACAACATCAATATATCATGCATCCCTAGTATGGACTAGGGGTGGAACGGTTCACAAAATCCACGGTTCGGTTCGGTTCACGGTTTTTGGTTCAGTTCGGTATATGTTGATTGTTACACCGAAATCCCATAAAAATTAATGAAATTAATGAAAAATTCCCCAAAAATTAATGAATTGTAATTATTTTTAATGAAACCCTGGATCATTTCCGCATGTTTTGCTGCTTTGAATTTAATCATCTCGCGCATGCCCTCTACGATCTCCAATGTGCAGGCGATCTGGAGCGCAGCGGGGCGGAGCGGAGCGCTGATGGAGTATGTTGGATTTTGGTAGATTTTTTTCTGCTACACTCGGCTACGCTGCTTCGCTTCTTCTTCTTCTTGTTTACTACTGGTGGTTGGCTTTGGTCGCAGTACCGCCACCTTCTGCTCTGTAGTGTAATCGCTTCACCTATGAGAAAAAGGAGCAGCGCATGAACCGAGCGCAACACACACGAACCGAACCGAGACAGTCAAACCGAACGGTTCGGACGGTTTTCATAAACCGTTCCATCCCTAGTATGGACACAACTTCAATTCCATCCATCCATCCATGCATGGCTTCCCTTTAAACTGCATCTCTGAATACCCTCCTTCACAAGCAGCAAAATCATATTTAGAAATTTGTCCCATATGTCGTTGAAAGCCAAAGTGTATATATTGAACCTTATATTCCAAAATAATTTATACACTGATTTTTATTTCTTGTGCTTTAATTATTGCAGGTTTCTTACATTTTAAATGTAAGTCTGTGTCCTGTGAGTCTGGCTCAGGGTTGGCTAGCACAGCTTTTTCTGAGTCTTGCTGAACTACAGAAGACAAGAAAGATACGCTGAATTTTACTACAGCACAGCTTTTTTTTCTTGTAAACTTGTGAATATATTTTATTGCATATTGCATATCCCAGTAAATCTGTGTCACCTTTACATCTGAAGCTGTCCCTAATTGTTTCTCTGCTCTGCTTAAAATCAGATTTATGAACCTGTCTACCAATATAATGAGGTCAGAGAAACAAATTTTCAAGAT